GTGGGAAACCAATCAAAGCTCGTGGTGGAATACTTATTGTGGCTTACCCAATAGGAGAGGGGTGGCAGCTGCCCTGAGCCCACTCTTGAGCAGAGAGCAGCGGCTGTCCTCCTTTTACAGGGTTGATCACCAGCGTAGAGAAAAGGAGAAGCAGGGACAGTGGCTAGCCAAGGTTTTGAGGTTTTCAAAACAAACAAGGACCAGATTCCAGAGGTTCTGTATCAAAATGACTGAGCATTTCCCTAAACTAATGAAGACACCAAAGCACAACCATACGTGTAGAAAATGCAGAGAACACAGGATAAATGTCAAGAAGCATGTGAGACTCCTCTGACTGGAAGAATAGAGTTGTCAAATAAGCTAAACATGACTAAAAATACTTAAAATCAAACACTGTATTTAAAGAACAAAAACAAAGAGAAAAAGGAGGCCACCTACACAAAAATGAGACTGACATGAGGCACTCAGGGGCATCATATGCAAGATGATAGACATGTAATTTCAAATGTAAAGAAAAAACAAAGTTACAATTTTCTATTCAATTACGGTATTATTTAAATGCAGGAGTGAAAGGAAAATTTTTTAGGTAGATATGTTTTCAAAATTAGCCCCCCAAAGACCATATTTTTTTTTAAAGATTTATTTATGCATACAGAACTGGGGTACAGGCCAGAGATGCAGAGGGTGAGAGGATTCACCAGGGACAGAGTGGAGAGCAGAACAGGCAGATGGACAAAGTACACTGCTGAGGGGAGCAGTGGGCGGGTCAGGAGAGGTCTGCCGCGCCATGTGGTCACCTCCAGGGCAGGCGGGATCGAACTCATGTGGAAGTGGCTTTAGCTTCTTAGTGCAGTGCTTTAACCTGCTGCGCCACCAGGGAGGGCCCCCAAAGACCATATTTTAAAGAACTATTAGAGAAAGTAGTCTAGCATGAAATTAAGGAACAATGGGAAGAATGAATAGACAATTTAGTAAGATTTACTGTTATCTTAAACAAGCAAGACAAAAGAAGAAAAGATGAATGAAAGCATGCAAAGTTTTTATTGTTTGAGGAGAAAAGCACATGCTAATTTTGTTTTATTAATAGAGAGAAAAAGTTGTCTTAAATTAGAAACTGTAATAAGAACAGAAATAGAATATATAACTTTCTTTACAGCAAGAATCAATAGTAGATAGACTATTTCTCTAACGATAATATACACTAAGTTAATTACTGATAGAATCTTAGGAATTTCCATATATCTGAAAAACAACACTGGATCACTCTTGGGTAAAAGAGGAAATACAAAATGAAAAAATGCTACAAATGAAGAAAAATCCCACCATTTCAAATACACAAATCATAGCTAAAAAGCATATTATAGGAGTTTACAGCTTTGAATATATTTATCAGACAACAAGGAGTAGTATGACTTGAACAGATGCATTAAGTGCTCCCCTATGTAACTGCACTAAAAGGATACTAAAACTCCAGGGTAAAACGGGGGGATCACTTCCTCTTCCACTAAAACTACTGAAACAGACTTAATGGGAGGTGGGGTGGGTGGGTGGGGAATGATAAACAACACAAGAACAGAAAGGCCAGCAGAAGAAACAACAGTAACTGGAAATCACGTGCACAAAATAGTAACTGATTTAAAGCACAAATCCCTAACTAGTTTTGGGAAAGGTGAGAAAGAGCCCAAACCAGTCTGCAGAAATCTAAAGCCCAGCTGTTAGCACCAGATTCTTCTGAAACTAGGAATCAATGACACGGTAAAATAAGGGCCAGGATAAAGTTGTGTGTAGAGAGCAAGACCTCCAAAGCCCACCTCAACTCCTTGCAGTCAGGTGGCTGTACTCCCCACAGTTTAGAGGCCACACCACTACAAAAGGTGTAGTGGGAGCTCTGAAGAGGGATGCTCTGGGGTATGTGCAAGTTAAGGCTAGAGATTCCCCTTCCCCTACATGTCACCAAAGGTTCTGAGACCTGGACATTCTATGGGGACTCTGAGTAGTCAAAGAGAAAAGACCTCAAGGAAAATACATGGGTCCTCAAGAGAGTAGGGCTTGCCTAGATAAGCAGGCTATGGACAAACTTTCACATTCAAATTCATTCCCTCATAATCTGCTCCAATGTCTGCTTGATTGCATTATTGCTGATGAGTTGGCTTTCAGCTTTACACAGTGGTGATTTGCGATTTTTGTTTCAGTGCAAGGTCTTTTCTTGCATGTATGTTTAAATTTTACTTCCCATACAGCTTTCCTCAGAAACCCAGTTTACAATTGTGCCACTAAAACAAGGGAGTAAACCAAAAAAAAAAAAAAAAAAAAAAAAAGTAGACATGAAGCACAGGAAACAGAAGATTCAATAAGGAAAGAGGAACATGAAGGGCCAGTGAGGCAAGATCTCAGGACCCCTGCTATGAATCACACAAAACAAAAGGTAGTAGAGAATGACAGTGTGAATAAAGGGGCAGACAGACTGAGGCTATCATCACTAAAATATCTTTCAAATCTAAGGAATCTGGTACAGAATCTCATGTGTGCTCCACCTGACTTCCCCACACACTTCAAGGTTCCTCCTCCTTTTTCCTCTGCTCCCTGGGTAGCAGAAGACACTCATCCCTACAAGTAAGTATTTAGATCTTCTACCAGTTGGAAGGAAGTGGTGTCAGCCTAGGGACAGGAGACAGGACTGCACTCCCCCTACCAGATTTTTGCCCCATTCCCTGGTGTACACTGAAAACTGCCCGACACTCAATAAGCCTTAACTTCCCTAGGGACCTTGAACAGACTTTTCATGGAAACTGAGCCAGGAGATGCCTGCACTGGTGTCCCACAGCTGCTGTTATCAATGTTCCATAAACTGGGTGGCAGAAAACAGAAGTTGCCTCCTTCATAGTTCTAGAGCCTACAAATCAGAAATCAAGGTGTCTAAAGGGCCATGTTCTCTTTGAATATTAGGAAAGAATCGGTTCTATCTTTTAGTTCCTGGTGTTGCCAGCAATCTTGGATGTGTCTTCACTTATTGACATCATTCTAATCTCTTTTTCCCTGATTTCTCAGAACACTGTTAAATGAGGTTAAGCATCAACGATTCACCCTACTCCAGTATGACCTCATCTTAACTAATTACATCTACAAAGGCCTTACTTAAAGATACAGTCACATTCACAGGTAGAGCATTGCCCCTTCATAATTAGTTTTACGGTTTCAGTCACCTAAAGTCAGTCTCAGTCCAAGAATACTATGTCTAAGATACTTTGCAAGAGAGAACAGGTAGCAAACAGAAGGACTTCTAAGGGGTTTGTAAGTTTGTAATGCAGATTCTTAACCCAGGAGACAGATACACGGGCATTTATTTTACTTACTAATCTCTAAATTATATCCATATGTTCTATAGGTACGACATATTTCACAATTAAAGTATAAGGATTTAAAAGACAAATCCACAAGAACAAAGGACAAGTGAAGCACTAACTCCAAAAAGAGCCTATGAATAAGTGGTAAACAAATTAGACCAGTGAGTCCAAACCTGAGCCAGCAGCAGCAGCAGGTTAGGGACAGGGGGCTCCCCCAAGCATGTCAGGAAAGTGCAGCAATTGCAGGCATCAGGTCCTGCCAAAGTTGAAAGCAGGTATTGAAGACTATGGCTGAAGTCACTGTTAAGAGGTGAAAGCCTCCAATCACATCCCTACTGCTCACATCCAGAAAGGGTTTTTCCCTTCACAGGTTGCAGACTAGAATCTTTGGGAAGTCTCAAAAGCGACCCTGGGAAAAGGCAGCACCTAACACAGCCACGGCAGGAACACTGTCCTGAAACAGAGACTCAGCAGACAAACCAGCTCCTGTCATCCCTTTTTGCTTATTGGATGCAGACAGGTTATACTTCTCAGGAAAGAGGGTAATAGGAACCAAAAAAGGAGAATTAAAGGGATTCTTCTAGAATTGGGGTTATCAGCAAACTATACAACCTATAGGTCAAATCCAGTTTAACTTAGTAAATAAAATTTCACTGGAACAGCCACACTCATTCACTATGTTTTATCTCTGCTGCTTTCATACTTCACCAGCAGAGTAGAGTCGCTGCAAAGCTGCAACTTTACAAAAAAATTGTGCCAGCACTCAGTATAGAGGGTCCAACATCTACATAATAGAGGTTCTCTAAAAAGAGAAAACAGAAGATAGGAAATTAAGAATACTCTCCAAACTCAAGGAGAGTTTCACACACCAAATGCCCAGCATGATAAAAGAAAAATCCCCCAGTACCTCACAAAAAAAGCAGCACCTCACAAAAGAAAACTTGGAATAGAGAGCCCACTAGTTTCCAAAAGAAAAAATATGTAAAGAATTTAGTCAATTCACAGATTAAGCAACAATTAGGAAACAACTAGGAAAATTACTCTATAATCTATAATCAAATATAATCTATAATCAAAGAACTACCCATAAAAAGCAAAATTTCACTTTAAGGCCATCAATTTAGCAAAAGTAATGAAAGGCTTTCTAGAAGCAGTAGTAGAAAGGGACAGAAGATCTGTTCCTGCTGTACGAAGGTTATTCTGGAAGTTCTGGGTGGAATCAACTGTTCCCAGGAGGACTCAAGACCTGGGCCCCAGTGAGTGTCCCCCAGCACTGCTGACCCTGGTGACTAGTTCTCATATCTTCTTGGACACTAATTCTACTTATTGTCTCCTAACTACACAGATGTGTACACATTTCCGATCCTACAGAAAAGAATGTCTTATACACTGTACAGTCTCAACAAATCTGTCAATCAGATCTATAATATAAATTGTCTCAGGATGACTGCCCAAAGATGAGGAAAACCCTCAGATATATGAAAGGGTATTCATACTGAATAATTTAAAAAATCGAGTTCAGCAATTTCCATCTTTCTCTCTTGTTTTTGTTTCAAAATCACTCAGGATTTTAAGTCACAGCCTAACCATCAAATGTTGTTGCCAGCCCCACCTCTACCATAGCCCAAGCGTTTGAGAATAGGTGCTAGCAATTACCTGGTATCGGTCAAGGATTCTGAAGTCTTGACAGGTTGTTCTGTATGTGGCTTGTCCAGATGGAAGCCGGGAAACTCCTCCTTCTTTGGCTCCATAAATACCATCAACTAACAGAAGAGCAGCATTAACAACTTGATCCAAGTCAAAGAGAGGTAATCCCCTCTCCCTTTTTGCTTGTCTGACTATCAATTTACGCTTTAGTCTCCGAGCTTCTGGTGTCATGGCAACAGCACTGGGACAGGCTTCCAGCCTCTTTAGGAGTAGCTTTTCCTCATAGATGCTCACAGGGGTGTACTTGGGCCCTTTAGGTTTCCTGTCCTTCTCCAACTGAGGCTTCCTCTTTTCTCGAGCTCTTGTTTGCAAGGATGTGTTGGAATCTGTGTCTTCACTGTCAATGTCCATCCTATCAGGTTTTTCCTCCTCACTCTCTATCTCCTGCTTTATCTGTTCAGGTGCTCTGACCTTTCTTCCTCCAACCACTGTCCCAGAAGTGGCTGATCCAGCTGGAGGCGGAACATACTCCATCCCTGGGTCTATGACTCCATCACCTTCTATCTCATCGTCATCTGTGTAGAGTAAAGTAGTGTATTAAGATACAGAAAACATACAAGGCATCCTGCCCACAAGGTGGAAACTTACACATTTATACTATGATCACACAGAAGACCCAAGAAAGTTAAGTCTTACCATGAAACAAGGCTTGTGGTGGCATCACATCTGGAATCAGATCTGCTTCAGAAAGCAAGCTAGGCGTGGCTGAGTGAGAGGCAGGGGTCCCTGGGGCAGAGAAATCCAGAGATGGAGAAGGAGATGGGCTTGTTAGCGGGGTTCGGTCAGAAGAGCTCAAGGATGAAAAGTCAATCACTTCTCCTTTTTCAAGAATTGAGTCTGCCCTGCGGCCTCGGCTTATAAACTTTACCGGGGTAGAAGAAGTGCTCCTGTCAAGAAAGCCAGCTGCTTCCTTCTGGGCTCTTCTAATGTCTTTGGCTTCTTGAGTACGAGACCTTTTCTCCTTTAATTCCATGGCAGATTCTACAGGATTCCGACTCGCCCTTTTTCTAAGTCCTTCAACTGTAATGATGGGATCCAAAGTTGGCTTTGAGGCTGCAAGAGAAGAATAAATATCTAAAAAAATTTAAATAATTATTCAACTTTAGTTCCTTTTGCTAATTTATTTTTATGAAACTACTACCTTGACCAAAATAGAGAATGTTCAATGAATGCCCTGAACTAAGTTTGGATAGCCCTTTAGCAAGAAAGGAAACCGGTGTCTGTTGCCACTGCCACCTGCCCCTATCTTTCTGAACTCCAGCTGAAGGAGCGGCAGGTGGGTACGGAGGTTTCTACACTATGGCTCATACCAAACAGGCTGCCTATATATTTGTAGACACGGGCTACAAAAGCCACTTGCAAGAGTGCATCTCTACTGAAGGGGTGAAGAAACTTCGTCATTGCAGGCCTAACATCATTGTGGGCACTGTGAAATCAGATGTTATCAAAAAGTCCACTGAACTTCTGGTTCACAAATGTCCCTTCCAGATCCAGATCAATAATTGCTTCTTCCCAGATGTGCACTCCCAGGACTTTGCAGGAGGCAAGTGAGAACTATTTGGCTGGCTTTACTAAAGATACCAACATCATGTGTATTATAAATGTCAATTCAAAATTAAGCCAAAAAAAATCCAGCTAGCATGCTTAAGAATCCACTGTGATGAAACATTTCATTCCAAAAAACAAAAAAATTATCTTCTTTCTGTTATTATTGGTAGTTCTGAATTTAGGTATTTTCCCCCCCATGGTGTCAAAATGTACCTATGTATGTGATTGCAAGTGGAAAACTAGGGAAGAGAAATCAGGTTTAAACAGTTTTTCCATTTCCATCTGTTTGTGAATTTTTTTTTGATAAATAATACTTTATTTTTACATCATTTTGTACATTTTTTTTTCTTCATCTCAATTGTAATCCCCGTGATGTTTACGAATTCTTAATGTAAATACAGGGACATAACATATTAATGCAAGTCAAAATGTTTCATTGAACAAGTTCAGAAATTCAATTTTACAACAATTATAAGTAAGCCTGCTCAATTTTTTTGGACAATGCCAGCATTTGGATTTTTTTTTTAAACAAGCAAATTTCTTATTGACAGTATGTGAATGTTGCTTGTAGAATTTTTATCATACTGTATGTAGGTCCCATCCTCTCCCTATACTTTTCAGAGCAATAGGACTTGCATGTAGGCATGCAAGTACATGTTTTAATGCTGCCTGCCTTCCATGCTGTTCCTTAAGTTTACTATTAAAATACATTAAACTATAACCAAAAAAAAGGGAGTTATAATGCAAATTTAAACAAATACTATCTTTTGCCTACTATAATTGGTAAACATGGAAAGTTAATAATACTTAGCATTAAGGGGAAATGAATATTTTTATGCCTTTTTAAATAGGACATAAATTTTATTACTTTTTTTTTTAAAAGGTAATTTGGCAATACAATACCAATACAAATTCTGAATGAATATGCCCTTTGATACAGCAACCTGTTTCTAGGAAATTACCATATAAAATCTGTGCATGGACACAAATTGGTATAATTGTATTATTTTTTAAAATAGCAACAAAAACAGAGCAGAAATACCTAAAGTGTCTATCAACAGGAAAATGGCTAAATTGTAGTGTACACGTTAATGGAAGACAAAGAAATAAAAGAACATAAGGCAGATCTATTTGTACTTTTGTGGAGGAATGGTGAAGGTATACTCATAAGCAAAGGAAATAATGAGAACAAGTATTATTTTTTTCCCAATAAGGTGCTTAATTATGCAGAGCTGGTTTCTAAAAGCATTCATAAGCGACAACAATTGCTACTCCGGAGAGTTAACTGAAGATAGAGAACTTTCCGTCTTTATAGCCTTTGATATTATTTGGTTTTTTGCAATTTTATTTTTAAAAATTAGAGAAGTCATTACAAAGGTTTCATTAAAATATCAGATCAACATGCAATAGTAAGCAGTTACTGTTTTTTTTTTTAAGTATAAGAATTTCATTACAGTTAGGCTACCAATAAAGAGTTCTTATCTCTTAGAGATACATACTGAAATATTTAAGAATAAAATGTTAATGCTTTGGATTTATTTCTAAGTAATCCAGAGCATATTGATGGAAGATTGGGAGAAAAACTCAGGAAATCTTATTTCCAGCATTTAACTGTTGAAGTGAATTGAGAGGTACATGGAGATTCATTATATTACTTTCTTCACAGCAGTTTAAGTTAAAAAATTTCCATAATAGAAAGTCTAAAAACAAAATCAGAATGAAAATAAAGCAGCTCTGAGATACCAAAGTAAGTCTATAAAACTGGTAGCTTGATTAGGAAATGTTTTTTGTATAATATATATTTACAGCATATACAAAATTACCTCCTGAGAGGCAGATGGGCTGGCTCTCCCTGGCAAAGCAGGACTGTCTCCTAAACTCACACCTAGCACTTTTCATACAGCTCTCACACAATACCTTTTACTTTCAAAGTAGAAGCAGACAACTTCTCTCCTTCAGGTTTCATTGTTGGGGGCCTATTGTGAACAAGTTTCCACCATCCCGGTTCTCCGAACTCTTGAGCGCCTGAACGGAAGTACATGGGACTTCCCACACTGAGACAACCTGCGACTGTGCTCCACCAGGTTGATGTCTTTTTCCTGGGGAATTAAAAAATTTAAAAATTATTGGCTTTTCTTTCTATCAACATTATATAAAATATACTCTATGTACACTCTATGACTCTTAGCCTGTTTGAACATCCAATACCATTGAACATCCAATCTATGAAAGGATTAGAGCAGGAGAGTCAAGAGAGACTTTGGAGCCCATCTGGCTTGAAATCTGGGCTCTAGTACTGTCTAGCTGCCAGAATTTTTTCATCTTAAAAAGCAAGATAACAATTTACCTCACAAAGTTTGCTGCGGTTATTAAATGAGATAACTCAAAACAAAGCTTATAAAACACTTTTCATCACAATCAACATGATTATGTAGTTCTGTGGGCCAATTTTAATTAACTTGAGTTGCCATTATATGTGGATTAAACACAGCTCCCCAGAAAGGAAATAAGAGAATTATGTGCCACGGTAAACAGTGAGTTGACAGAAACATCTCTTGGTCTGTTCCCAAAAGAGCTAAACCTTATAGCAATAGCTAAGTTTGGCCCCCACAAAGGGCAAGCATTTCAAAATACAGAAAAGTATATGTAACAAAATTTTAAAATTATGTATATCAATTATGCAAACTTCTGTTGATAATTCTAAAGGCAACTGTTCTATTTTCACAATAAGGTAATTATCAGAAATTCTAAAAAAAAAAAAATAAGAAAGGCTTTCATGTACAGGAGTCTAATAGTTGGAAAATATTGCTAAAGAGAGGTAAAAGGAAAAACCATTCTTAAGAACAAAGATGTACTAGAAACTAAAAGATGTACAGTAACTAAAAGCTATCAGCATGTTCAAAAAGGGAGAAAGACACCTCAGCTTCACCCTGAACATAATGGTCTCACTGCACTTCTCCTTGCCTCTTTCAGGTCTTTCTAAGCTCTCCCCCTTCTTGGTCTTGCTCAACGAAAAAGACCATGGCAGGAACCATACCACTGCTTTATTACATACATATGCTGATCTGGTTGATGATACCCCACAGATACCTTAAATCTGCTCACTTTTCCTTAATTTTTTGCTTTTTGTTTCTCAAACTGATTTCTATTGTCCTATCCTCAAGTTCACTGAATCCTTCTTCTTGCTCAAAATCTTCTGAATCCTTGTATTTGATTTTTTATTTATTACACTTTTCAGGTCCAAAATTTCCTCTTGATTTCTTTTTAGGTTTTCTATCTTTACAGATATCTCCATTTGGTTCATAGATCATTTTCTTTACATCTTTTTTTAAGTTCTTTAGGCACATTTGTTTTTTTGCTTTTTAAGACAGTTGTTTTAAACTTTGCTAATGGATTTGCTATCAGGTCTTTTTAATGGGCAGTTCTGTTAACTTTTTTTTCCCTTTGAATGGGCCACACTTTTCTATTTCTTTAAATTCCTTGTAATTTTTCATTGCAAATATGAATTTGAGGGGCCTCCCTGGTGGCACAGGGATTAAAATAGCACTCAGAAGCTATCCACAGTCATTGCAACATGAGTTCAATCCTCAGCCAGGGAGGTGATCCACATGGCATTGCAGACCTCTCCTGTCTCACCCACTGCTCCCCTCGGCAGTGTATTTCAGTAGATCTGCCTGTTCTGCTCCCCACTCTGTCTCTGGTGATCCTTTCACCCCCTGTACTCTGGCCTATATACCAGTTCTTGTACACATAAATAAATCTTTTTTAAAAAGGAAATATGAATTTGACAACTTACCACAACTGAAATTAGATTCTCTTCCTCAGCGTTTATTGGTTTTGTTTTTAAAGATTTTTTTTTTTTTATTGTAAGAGGCTGCCTCTGTGCCAAAGATCTGTCTAAGGTATAATCTTAAGATATTCTCAGGTCATTTCTGCACAGTGACTTTCTAATTCTCCTCTATATGTATGTGGTTGCTTCTGAAAATCTTAGTCTTCAACATCTGGCTCCAAAGAGGGACAGATAAAGGGATAAGGGGGAGGGAGGAAGTGGTAAGCTCTTTAAATTTCTTAAAATTTTTAAATTTTTAAAGTTACGTCAGTCAGAGTGGGAGATCTATAATAGGGGTTAACAATGATAGCTGCCTGCCTGTTTGTCTATTAACTCCGTGATGAGAAAGAGCAATAAGTGATCAGAACACAGATTCCCAATATTTGGAAGACAAAGTCCTTTTGTATATCCTAGCTCCCTCAAGTTGTGTATAAAACAGCTGGCCACAGGGCTTAAGGCTGTGAAATAGTTAGATTCTACTGTGGGAAAGAGATGAAACTGACCTAAATTAACTATTTACTTATCCAAGCCTTTCTCTGGAAGTTATAAGTTTTCACTGGAGCCAGAGATCCCACATTAGCTTCAACAGATACTCTACCAAGGCAACTATCATGGAAGGACAGATTTCTTGTGCTTCCTATTCTGACATTATATAGCTCATCATTTAATTTTCAAATTTTATTTTTTCAATGAAGGATCTGTACTTTTTGACTTTTTAAATTTTCCTCCCACCACCTTTATCCCATTGCCCTTCCTTCTTTCTTCTTCTTTTCAATCTCACAAGACTCACTTAATTTATTAATGTCTGCTAATTTTTATAAGCATTCAGTTTTGCTAAATCATCTGCTATGTAAATGCTTAGTATTTGTCTTTTTCATTCTGATTTGCTTTACTATACTTCAATCCCTTCCATTCTGCTGTAATGGCAGTACTTCCTTTTTCCTCTTGGCTGAATAGTAATGTGGATATACCACATTTCCTTGATCTAATCCTCTACCAATGGACATTTAGGTTGCTTTCATGTCCCAGCTATTGTAAATGGTATACTGCAGTAAACATCATAAAGTATTAACATTTTTTGAATTGATGAATGTACATTCTTTGGACAGAGGACCCAGGAGTGGGACTGCCCGGTTATATAGTATTTCCATTTTTAGTTTCTTAAAGATATAGCCACATCACTTCCAAAATGGTTGCAGGATTTACATTCTCACCAAGTATATAAAGAAGTTTCTTTTTCCATGTCTTATCCAGCATTTGTTGAAGAGTCTTTTTAATACATGGCAATCTCAGTGGGTGTAAGATCTCACTGTGGTTTTAAACTCTATTTCCCTTACTAGAAGCAATGATATACATTTTCCCATGTATATTCTGGCCTTCTGGATATCCTTTTTGGTGAACTGTCTGATCTGCTGAATTTTAAACATTATGAATATGCTTTATCATATTTCATTAAATATAAGATTCACTGACTTTAAGATATACCATTTTACTTACAAGTTGGAAAGGAAATTAGCTACCCATTAAATTATCACACATCTTATTGTAAGATAGTCAGTTGTCAGAGATACGAAAATTTGGGAAAAAAATGTGCATCTTAAATAAAATATGGTAATGGAAAAAAAATTTTAAATTCTTTACAAGTCAGTAATATTCTCTGTAATAACCAAAGATCAGAAGTCAGAACTATAAAGGCAGATTAAATAGTCACGTATAAAATGACAATTAAATGGCAGCTTTTGTGTGATTTTCAACTTGTTTCTACAATAGTTATATAAAGTTATTTAGATTAGCCCTAAAATAAACTTTTATACATTTAAACTTTAATGAAACACTAAAGGCATAAGAGAAAAAGCGGTAAACATCTGGAAGAAAATATATTAAAGTTTAAAACTGTATTATACAGTATACAGATTCCTTGGCAAATGAGAAATGGCTATCTTTGTTAACTGCAAATACTACAGCACTGCTTTATTTTTAGTGCACTTATTTTTATAGTTACATTATAGTAAATGACAAGGTTTTTCTAATAGTGATGATGATTTGAGGTTTCTTTTAAAAATTATGAATAAGCAAATGATAATTCAAGTGATATACCAATAAGGCTAGAAATCACTAGTTTGATGATTAAACTATATAGAAGTTGGAGAATCATTAATGCCTTTCAGTAGAAATATTAAAAAGAAAAACCTTGAGCTGGTTTCTCTCAGAACATGCTCTAGAAATGAACAAATAAAACAACTGAAGACTTGGTTAAAATACAGCAATATTCTTAAAAATAGGCTATTTAAATCCATTCGCTTCTAGAAGACAATCCACTGAACAGAACACCACTGACAAATCATGAAAACATTCCAAGATCTAATTTTATCAGTTTATTCCCTTCTTTGTGCCTTATAAATGGGATATATTAAGTTCCATAAATAGTGCTACATCATTAAACTAAGACAACAGATTTCCTTTCTTAAGAAAAAGAACCAGTTATACTGTCAATTCTTTTCTTAGTACTACTAAATAACTCAAGAACAAAAATAACTCCTTTTGTAAAAATGTACTAATCTATTCTATTTTTCCTCACAGCAAACCTTCAGAAGGTCGTCCCTCCTTTCAACAGCCTCTCTGAGCTCTGGTAACATTCACAGAGCTCTGACATCTCAGCATCGGGGAGAAACAAGGCTGCTGTGAGCTCAGAGTGAGAATAGGTACAAATTCCCTGCTGTGACCTCAGGTGCTCAGCCTTTATCATGTCTATATCGACCCAAGTATGGAAAAATTGTGAATATCACATTGGATCTCAAAAAGAATTCTTAATTCACTAATCCCTAATAGCAGTAAAGATCATGTTTGATCCATATTGACCCTTAATTACGACATATGGCTCAAAGCCCGTGCACACTGGCATCCCTAAATCTGATGAATAAAACAGACACCGAAGAGGAGCACCAGGCAGCAAACTCAAAGTGCCACCATGAAAAGAAAGATGAATGAGACATGTCTTGTGGCATGCCTAGACTCTACTCTGCAATATGACACTAAAAAATATGTAACAGTTTCTACCTTTCAGCACCAGAAATGTCAGGTACTAATAACACAAGGCTCTAGAGCTTTGTTGGTGGCCTAAGTCTCTGTGCTATCATCATGAAAGCCTGAGTTCAACCCCTGGCCAGGGAGTTAACCCATGCATGGCACAGCAGACAGATAGAATGTACCTGTCTTGCCCGTTGCTCCCCTTACAGTGTATTTCAGTAAATGTGCCTGTTCTGCTGCTTCCCACTCTATTGCTGGTAAATCCTCTCATACCCTCTACCTCTGGCCTATACCCCAGTACTTCTACATATAAATAAATCTTAAAAAAAAAAGCCTCTATTAAAGAAAAGATATTTAAATGGGTACAGTTAATAACTGCCATTATCTTTCTTTTTCTGACCTCCCAATAGGCACTTATTTCAATAGTATCTGAAAATCCTGTATCCTCAAATAGTTATTCATCTATTAACCAGCCAAAACACTGGATTTTTTTTAACATTCTAAGAATTTCTTCAAAATCTCTTTGTACATAGCAAAACCCAGTTTTGTCTGGATATAGGATGAGAAAATTATGGAAACCTACATGTTTAATAATATGCTTTCATTATGATTTTTCACAAACAAGTTTTTTCTTTTAAAGCTTTATTTATTTATGCATACAGAACTGGGGCACAGGCCAGAGGTGCAGAAGCGGTAAAAGGATTCACCACAAAGTGGGGAGCAGAACAGGCCAACTGACAAAGAACACTGCTGAGGGGAGCAGCAGGCGGGTCAGGAGAGGTCTGCCACGTCATGTGGTCTCCTCTGGGGAGGGGACTGAACTCATGTGGAAGCGGCTTTAGCTTCCTAGTGCTGAGCTTTAACCGGCTGCGCCACCAGGGAGGTACCACAAACAAGTTTTTTTACTTAAAAAGTAATTATTGGGGTCCTCCCTGGTGGCGCAGCGGGTTAAAGCACTGCACTAAGAAGCTTAAGCCACTTCCGCATGAGTTTGATCCCGGCCTGCCCCATCCCCGCCTGCCCCGGAGGTGATCACATGGCATGGCAGACCTCTCCTGACCAGCCCGCTGCTCCCCTCAGCAGTGTACTTCATAGATCTGCCTGTTCTGCTCCCCACTGTGTCCCTGGTGAATTCTGTCACCTTCCTCATCTCTGGCCTGTACCCCAGTTCTGTATGAATAAATAAATAAATAAATCTTAAAAAAAAAAGGTAATTATTGGATCCTCCCTGGTGGTACAACGAGTTAGCACTGCCCTGCAGCTCTGCAAGCTGGCGCAGTTGCTTCAGCACAAGTTCAATCCCTCACCCAGAGGTGACCCACATGGCCCAGCAGACCTCTCCTGACCCGCCCGCTGCTCCCCTCAGCAGTGTACTTCGTCGATCTGCCTGTTCTGCTCCCCACTCTGTCTTTGGTGAGTCCTCACACCATCCCTGCATCTCTGGTCTGTACCCCAGTTCTGTAGGCATAAATAAATAAATCTTTAAAAAAAAAAAAAGTAATTATCAGGATCAAAAATTTCCGTTACTGCCACAAGTAAATGCTCTTATTCTATAAGGATGTGCATTAGACTGTGTCAAATCACATATACTTCATTATCTCCATTTAGATAAGATTTTTTTTTAATCACATTACCTATTCCCCAATAAAAAGGTCCAATGTTTCTCAATGAAAGCACAGATATCTTCTTTCCACCTGAAATAACCTTGACGCCCACTTCCTTCCAGAGATAAATTGTACATTGCCAACATGACAACCTGAAACACAAAGGAAATAAGGGCTGGGAGATAAGCATGATTAAGGCTGTTACCATTTAGAAGGGAAAGTTCTATTCTGAGTAGGAATGTTGGGGAACAGAGGAGGTAAAACAAAGGGTGAATATTCTGAATACTGAAATTCTGAATTTCACTTCCTTTTTTACTTTTATTAAATGAATATCACTAATGCATTTTACTATGTGGAGTTGTTCCTTGCATGTTTATATATGCAGGTCATGCAGGAATGCTGTGTGCTGGACCTGATTATGACAACGAGCCACTGTCCTAAGCAACCCCCTCCATCCTCTATCTCTCCATCACACATAATACAGCACAATACAAACTTAACCACTGGACATCAGGAAGCTTTAAGTGCCTGTTCCAGTCAGCATTTTCTGACTGACAGGGCTAAACTTTATTAGTATTTTATAAATCACCCCATACATGTAAACTTTTAAGCTATTTAGAGAGGGAAAACAAAAGATTCGGAATTTCAAAACTAAAAACATTAAGACACCATTTACTCAGCTATCAGCAAGTTTTTAGCTGTGGAAATCTTCATTCACATGTTATTAGCCATTAGATAATGGGCAAGGATCCAAAAGGTCTGGCTGTTCAACCCATTCTTAGAAGACTCTAAGACACTCCCTAGCGCTCAATGTGAAAACTCCTAATTTAGTCTAACCATGTTAGATAAATATGTTCACTGTAAAAAATTTTAGTAATAGGGAAAAAGTAATTAAAAATCACTTTGGGGGCTACCCTGGTGGCACAGCGGATTAAACTGCAGCACTAAGAAGCTAAAGCGACTTCAGCATGAGTTCGAAACCTGCCCACCCCAGAGGTGATCCACATGGTGTGGCAGACCTCTCCTGACCCTCCCGCTGCTCCCCTCAGCAGTGTACTTCATCCATCTGCTTGTTCTGCTCCCCACTCTCTGGTGAATCCTCTCACCGCCCCTGCACCTCTGGCCTGTACCCCAGTTCTGTATGCATAAATAAATCTTTAAAAAAAAATCACTTTGAATCCATCATCAAGAAGAAATTATCACATTTAATATTTTCAGTGACTGTCCTAAACATCTCTCTGCATCTACATAAATTTCGTAGTTACGTAATGTTGAAACTATACAAGCTATTCAAAACTATGTCTGCAATCTAATAAAAATGACTGATATGGGCAAGTGACTTGAAAAGGAGTCAGAGAACCTAAGAAAAGAATACTTAAATAATGCTTTCCATAAGGAACATCCTGAAGCAAATCAGAAATTCCTTGGGGGGACAAACTCGTGAATTCTACAGTAAGAACTTTTTACTCACTTGCTGCCATGTCAGCTTCAGTCTTTCATACTGCTCCTTGCCATCTTCGGAGCAATCAGAACAGGTAAACCTAAAGAAGTTATCACCCTTAAGGTAACTGAGCTGATCCCTCAGTTGACCTAGGAGAAAAACAGAAAGGCACATCAGTTTTATCTAGACCAATAGTATTTCAAAGGCTTAATCTGTCCAAACAGATTTACCTAGTTGCACATGCTTTTCTATTTTTTTTTTTTTAAGTTAACCCAAGGTAGCATGATGAAGTGGGGGAGTGAATTTCTATTCTTCTAGCTTCAAGCGTATGCCCACTAAAATGTTTTCTCTAAAATTCCCACTGGATTTCTCAACTGTTAACATGTCTGAGTCCTCTGGGGGTCTCTTCATGCATTTTTTGTTTCAAAAAATATGAGCTGTACCATGTAATAGTCACTGGGGTCAGTACAGGGAAGAAATGCTCAAGATAGTGCCTACTCTTCGCGGTATAATTATTCTGAGAGGATGGCATACAAGGACAGAGGTAATCACAACAGTAGTGCTGCTTCATCCTCACTGGGCACCAGAATCATCCAGATTTGTTTTGTACTTTTTAATATGCCTGGGCCAACCCCACACAAAATGGATCAATCTCTGGAACTAGGGCAGGGCCCTATAAGTTTTTTATAGGTCCCCACATGATGTTGATGTTCATGTTGATGAGACAGGAAAACCAGAAGTGGACCAATGTGTGACATGCATTGTAGGGCACATAAAAAGGGTATTCAGTCTGTATCAGAAAGGTAGGAGAGCTAGAAAAAGAGGGGCGTATAGGGGGCCTGACGTGTGACAGACCTGACCAGGTGAAGAGAGGTACCTGTTGTGTTTGGAGCAACGGAGGGGATGGAAGCCATAAAGATCTACTTTCCAGAGAGGAAATTAAAATGTGCAATGTCCCAGGGATGAGAACTGTTGGTGGAGAATCCTAACTACAAATGTGGGGATAGGATACTAAAGAGAGGATAAAGAAGCTAGCCTCTGAGATTTTCAACAGAAACCTGAATTACTAAGCAGAGATAGCTCAGAAGTGGAAACTTAGTATGTAGGACATTTTGGGCTTGTTTGGTGAAGACTTAGGATGGCTGGCAAAGCATACACCTTTAGAGCTACAAAGCTGGCAGTTGAAAAGATACAGTTGAAAGACTAAGGTACCAGGGGAACATTGGTGTGTATCTCTGGCCAGTAGATCAAGGCCAGCAAATGAAAAACAAGAATGGTCCTAGAAATAGGTTCCAAAACACTTTTAAACTAAATTAATTCTAATTTAACATCAACATACAACAGTAGTTCCCCTGTAGGTTAAGTATTAGCAGTGGTTTTGAGGAAATCTTTAATTCTATAATGGGCCTTCCATTTTGTTCCAAATCCATGCTCCTGATAGAAAAAAATTCTTAACAGAAGATTTCCAATTTTCTAATATTTATTGGGTTATCATCAAGAACGTTGATTTAACAATGTGGTAGAGGTTGACAGTATTTTTATTAGTACACATCTGTTTTATATAAAATTGTAATTAATAAGCTAAGCTAGTAATATAATTATCTTTTATTTAGGGCTATTTTACAGGTTAGAAAAACAAACCTTCACATAGGAATTGTCAAATCAAAGGAATTGAGAAGCTCCTTACTCGCCGGTATCCATTTTTGGCACTTGTCACAGAAGTAGGACAGCTGTTCCTCCATCCAGGACACATCACCTTCATCACTATTGAGTGAATCCCCGCTCTGATCATGAGATAAGTCCACAGAAGCCTGATCCTCCGACTCCACAATCAGGAGAGTCTCCCCTTCCACTTCACCTTCCTCCAGTCCTTCTGAGGTAGATGTTCGTGTGGCTTCATCATCATGGCGGCTTATCAAACTACTCAGGTGGATGTTACTATCCATCCCTCTCGGTGCACAGGTGCAGAAGTGCTTTTCAGTAACAATCCTAAGTTCTAGACACCAATTTTAAAGGGGCTTTATCGGGATCACACACAACAGAAACGCTTCAGAAGAATATTTATCACATAAGGATTTTCTATAGCAACTATTTAGAATATCAGATCCATTATCCCTTTTCTGATCAAATTCAAAAGGACAGTGACAAAAAATTGTTGAAGATCTCACTAAGCTATTCTCCATCAACACACTCTCTCACACAAACAGAATTAACACCATTCGTCCCAGCAATATATCACATTCACGTCATGTTTTTTGAGATCCTTTTGCCAATAACATCTTCTCTCTTTCTGCTTCAAGTTGCTCAGTCAAAATAATCTGTTCTCCCAAAAGACGAATATTTTCTTTTTTCCGATTCTGTCTCTCAATGTCTCTGATCACTCCGTCATGAAGTCTCTAAAAAACGTAAGACACAGACTTCAGTAATACCCTGAACAGGTGGTTCCCAGCTTTGTGACATTCAGATCCAAATAACAGTGCCATGGAAAATCACTTAAACTTTCAGACTCCAAATACCCAATTACTATTTCAAGTTTCTGTACATATGTAAAATGTAATAAAGAAATCAACAAATTAATCTAGTAGTGTACTTTCACATTATCACTGAAATGACAACTTAGCCATTGCTCAAGAAATTCTTGAACATGTAGTACAGAAAGCTCGATGGGAAATGATTTAAAAAGGAAATACCGCCATCACATTGCATTGTAAAAGGTTAACTGGTATATGCTTTAAAATGAGAATGACTATAATAACTTTCCTGCTAGCAATTAGCTAAACAATAAACATCAAAGAAAAAAAGTTATTAAAACTTAAACCAACTGTAAAAATGCAGTATAAAAGCCTGACTTCTTCTAGTATGTAAAGTGAAAATTATATAGAATTACTAACAGGGAGGGGAAAGAATGCTACTAAAAGGGAAAAAAAAAGAAACATCAAGAATGCTACTACCACAGAAATAAAGGTCCATCGATGGTAGTTACTTTGATCAACACTAAAGACAAGTAGAAAATTACTGCATGTGATCCTGGCTGGACCTAAGATGAGATTCTTTCTGGGTGGGGAACCCCACTCTATTACAGACAAAATCAAGAGCACCGCGATTGCTCAGGCCCAACTTAGGTCCTGGGCTGGGAAGAAGCCGTAACTTGCTGAATGCACCCCAAAAAAACCCCTCCCCGCCTCTACTTTGTAGAGACCCAAGTACTAGCTAAAAGGTTCGTTTCACTGAAGCTGGCAGAGACTAGAAAACAAACCGCGGTCCCCGACCCTCCCTCCGCACCTCCCGGGCTTGCGACCTCGCGGCGCCGGGCTCGAGGGCGCCGGCCAGCAGCCGGGGTGACCCGGGCCTCCAGAAGCACGCGGCCGCCCTGCAGCGCGCGGGGCCCAGGAGACCACGGCCCCGCGCAGTCGCGAAAGGGGTCGGGGTATCCGGCCGTTCCGCCGCGGAGAGGACAGAGGTGAGAGCGCCAGAGGAAAGAAGTGGAGACGCGGGAACCCACGCGGTGAGTGATCGGGGGCCCGAGGCCGCCGCGCTGGCCTGGAAGAAACGATCATGTGACACCGACCTGCTGGTCGAGCCGCTGCTTCAGATGCACTCCGACCACGGTGGCCGTCGTCAGCAGCACCGAGAGGCCGAGCACCGCCTTCGAGCGCCTAGACATCCCCGCGCCGGCCGCCGAGGCCGCCCCCTCCCACCGCCCCAGGCCCCAAGGCCGCCACCGATCCCGCGTCGCCGCCTTTGCCAGCCAGGCTCAATCCCTCGAGCGCAGAGCCCTACCCGCCGCGTGCGCTGCCGGCAGCTACCAGGCACTAGCAATCGAAAGCCGAACAGGGATCCCGCTCCGTAGAAGGGGCAGCATCCGGTGGGGCGTTATAACCGAGAGGACTCCCTGCCCACTCTGCGGGTTATAGGGTAGTAGACCTCTAATTTTAATTTTAAAGAGTTTGCTTCCAAGATTGGCTCCCGCACTTTGCCAGGGCGTGTGGCTGCTATTCCAGAACCACCTCATTTTAATCTCCGCTGTGGTGGGAGGCTTCTGGAGGCGCGGGATTCTCAAGAGGTGACCTTGCAAACCCCTCTCGCATACCGGTCGCTTCTGATTGCCCAGCTGACCTAGATGCTTTGCTCAAAACCAGCGTCACCAAACGCAGCCTTTTTATTTTTGCTCCTTGTGTGTGGGAAGTACCACCAGGAGATGGAATTTTCTTGGGGATTCACCTGCATTTGCTTTGGCCCTTTGGGCTGGTTGTTTAAGCTCTGATTTTTCTGAAAATCGAAACGTCTTCTAACTGACGAGATACAACTGGGCAGCGACACCTTGCCTCCAGGTACGAAAAGCGCTGGTTCCCGCTGCTCTCGTTGTGGGTGTCATCTTGCACTATTGCACCCTTAGAGCCTCAGTTACCTATAAATTAGACGGAATTCCTGAAGTCCACGTCACTGGGAACATAGTGATAGAAAGAAGCAGAGTGTTGAAAATGGCGTAAGGCATTATGCAGAACGCCACTCTTTACTTTTTCTAGGTTTTCCAGAAACTGCAGAATATCTAATGGGCAATACTGGTTAGCGTTAGGACTGGGTCTCTGTTAGCCTCAACCAAGAGCTTCTTCCACATTCATTTTTGCTATCCCAGTCTCTGTCGTGGCAGTCTAAATGGCATGAAGTGAGGATTTTTCTCTAAGAAGTGTAATAAATTTTTAAAAGCCTTTTTCAAATGTCATTCGTTCAGCAGCATTTTCCTAAAGCAGAGGGAAATGTATCATTGGATTTGAAAACAGGGTTTCTGCCCTAATAATAGAGCTTGGAGTTTAAGCAGTTTAACTCAGAGCATATTCACACATTTTTCTAAAAGAAAATAACTACCATCTCTTTTACTTATAGTGAACTCTAGTTATTTTTCCCTGTTAGTGGGAAAACAGCTGTATGCTTTCATCCATCCTATTGTGACAATTTTTTTCAGTTTTTCTTAAAAAGCATTTTTATTATTTAAAAAATCCCTTATGTGTTAACAGTAACAATCAAAAAGTGGGTTATCTATGTAAATATTTATAATCCTATGTTGAAATCAAGGTTGGGTAATTGGACTTAGATGAAATCATGAGTGAGGAACCCCCATAGTGGGAATACGGTCCTTCTAAAATGAGACAAGGCTAGAGCTTGCTTTTTCTACCATGTAAGGACACAGTAAGAAGATAGCCAACTACAAACCAGGAAGAGGACCTGGCTGTGCTGGCACTCTAATCTCAGACTTCTCAACTTCCAGAACTGGAAAAATAGATGTCCACACTTAAGCTATCTAACCCTTGGTATTTTTTATAGCAGTCCAAGCAACTGAAGACAGCAATGAACTATTCACCAGCGTTAAATCTGGACGTGACTTTACTTCTCCAACATCACTATCACCAACCACCGAAGATGTAAGACTTGGTTCTTTGTCAGACCCTTCTAACGGCCTCCAGGAACCAGGTGCTCACAGTTCTTGAGTTCCTCACTCTCTTTCTCTCCATGGTAAATCACCACTAAGACCCACTAAATGGAAAAGTCCATTGGAGACTATGGGTGAGAAATACTTCTGAAATAAGATAAGGCTGAGATTCTACTATAAGGTAGAAAATTTTAAATTGAGGCCTATTCACTTACAGGAGAGGTAAAAAAAAATCATTTTATAATATTAGCAAACACAACATATTTAGATACATGCACGCTTTAAAGTTGGTCAGCCTTTGACCAGCATCTCCCCACTTCCCCAACCCCTAGCCGCTGGCAGCCATCATTGTCTCTCCATGTGAGAGTTCAGTTTTTTTAGATTCTACATATAAGTGAATTCATAGGATATTTGTCTCTTTCTTTTTGCTCTGATTTAATTCATTTAGCAAAACGTCCTCTAGTTTCATTAATGTTGTTGCAAAGGGAAGGATTTCCATCTTTCTTAATTGCTGAATCATAATCTTTATTCATTCATTCTTTGATGGATGCATAGGTTATTTCCATAACTTGGCTATCGTGAATCACATTGCACTGAGCACGGGGTGTAGATATCTTTTCAAGACTTCATTTCCTTCGAATATATACCCAGAAGAGGAATTGCTGGATTATCTGGTAGTTCTGTTTTAATATTCTGAGGAACCTCCATACTGCTTTCTATTATGATTGTACCAATTTACCTTCTCACCAACAGGGTCCTTTTCTCTACATCCTCACCAGTTCTTATGTCGGGGTCTTTTTTTATTTTTTATTTTTTAAAGATTATTTATTTATTTATTTGTGCATACAGAACTGGGTACAGGCCAGAGGCTCAGGGGCGCTGAGAGGCTTCACCAGAGACAGAGTGGGGAACAGAACAGGCAGATCGAGGAAGTACACTGCTGAGGGGAGCAGCGGGTGGGTCAGGAGAGGTCTGCCACACCATGTGGTCACCTCCGGGGCAGGCAGGAATGGAACTCCTGCTGAAGCAGCTTTTAGATTCTCAGTGCTGTGCTTTAACCCGCTGTGCCACCAGGGAGGGCCACTCTCAGGGTCTTTTTGATGAAAGCCATCTTAGCTGGTGAGAGATGATATATCATTGTGGTTTTGATTTGCTTTTCCCTGATGATTGGTGATATTAAGCACCTTTCCATATATCTGTTGGCCATTTCAATTGAATAAATGGTGACTGTAATTAATAATACTGTCTACCGTATTTAAAATTTACTAGGAAAGTAGATCTTAAGTATCACATACTCAAAATAAGTATGTGAAGTGATAGATGTACTATTGAGCTTGATTACAGTAATTAATTCACAATATATAGCTATATCAAATAATCATACGGCTTTACTATATGTAATTTTTATGTGTAAATTATGGCTCAATAAGCCTGGAAAAAAGAAATTTCAGGAAGACAATTTAAAGCTCTAAGAAGAAAAATAAATTATATAAAAAAAAATAGAAGTACTGTACATACTATCACATGGATGAACCATTATATC